TCTGAGACCGGCGCTATCTCCAGACACAGGTCATAGGCAGGGCTGGAGAGGCAGGCACCGGCTCTGAGAACCTCCTCCTCCAGATGAGGGGACCTGCGGGGGCTCCCTGGCTTATCTCCTGCATGCGGCAGCCCAATTTCATTAAGACAGATGTGCCATGCTCCTGTGGGCAGGAGTCATGGCCAGTACAGATGGCAGGAGCCTGAGACTCTCCCGGGTGTTGCCCGAGCAAGCAGCCTCAGCTGGCAGCCCGCTGGGACAGGGCCCAGGGAGGCCTGCACTGTGCCTGAGGGTGTGGGGGTTTGTCCCGTCCCTGTAACTTCAAGCCCTGCCACCCGCCAGCCAGGCATCCCACGTCTATGCTTCTGCCCAACTTCCCACCTCACTCTCACCACATCCCATACAAACACACATCACACCACACACACACTCCATCACCCACACCCCACGCATTACACAAGCACAGACACACACATGTATCACACACACGCATCACACACATCACACAAGTGCATATGCACACCCCCCCCCACATAGGCCAAACTCCTGACCTCACACACACACTCTATGACACACACTCCACGCATCACACGAGCACAGACACAAACACGCTATATCACACACACATACCACACACATCACAAACACAAGGCCGAACTCCTGACCTCACACACACACCATCACACACATCCCAATCACATCTCATAGCCCAATAATGTAAGAGTGGAAACCAGTCCTGAATTTCGAATGCCAGGAGATCAGTAGGGAAACCGAATCTGATTTTCTTATTTTTATTTGTTTTTTGAGACAGGGTCTCACTCTGTTGCCCAGGCTGGAGTGCAGTGGCGCAATCACAGCTCACTGCAGCCTCGACCTCCCAGGCTCAAGCGATCCTCCCACCTCAGCCTCCCAGGTAGCCGGGACTACAGGCATGCACCACCACACCCGGCTAATTAAAAAAAAATTTTCTTTTTGTAGAGATAGGGTGCCACCGTGTTGCTCAAGTTGGTGTCAAACTCCTGGGCTCAAGCAATCTTCCTGCCTCAGCTTCTCAAAGTGCTGGGATTACAGGAGTGAGCCACTGCATGCAGCCTCAGAGTCTGATTTTCTTTTTGATTTTTTTTTTTTTTTTTTTTTTTGAGACGGAGTCTTACTCTGTTGCCCAGGCTGGAGGGCAGTAGCACAATCATGGCTTACTGCAGCCTTGACCTCCCAGGTTCAAGCAATCCTCCTGCCTCAGCCTCCTGGGTTCAAGTGATTCTCCTACCTCATCCTCCCAAGTAGCTGGAATTACAGGTGCGTGCCACCATGCCTAGCTAATTTTGCAAATTTTTAGTAGAGATGGGATTCTCCCATGTTGGCCAGGCTAGTCTCGAAACTCCTGACCTCAAGCCTGCCTCAGCCTCCCAAAGTTCCGGGATTACAGGCGTGAGCCACTGCACCTGGCCCAGAATCTGATGTTCTGTTTTCTATTTTATTTTTATATATATATATATTTTTTTTTTTTTTTTGGGGAGATAGGGTCTCACTCTGTCACCCAGGCTGAAGTGCAGTGGCACAACCGTGGCTCACTGCAGCCTCAACCTCCCAGGTTCAAGCAATCCTCCTGCCTCAACCTCCTGAGTAGCTGGGACTATAGGCACACATCACCATGCCTAATTTTTTAAAAAAATTTTTTGTAGAGACAGGGTCTCACTATGTCGGTCAGGCTGGTCTCAAACTCCTGAGCTCAAGTGATCCTCTTGTCTCGGCCTTCCACGGTGCTGGGATTACAGGAAGTGAGCTACTGCCCCCCCCCCCGCCCCCACCCAGGGTTGTTTCTTAAAGGCCTGAGGGAGGTCACAGGCAGATGCCTCTTCAGGGAGGGGAAGGAGTGAGGGGGGCAGGCAGGGGGACAACTGGCAACTGCCCTCTCCAAGGATCCCCAGGACCCTGAGTGGCAGGAGAGATGCCCACAGCCTGGCTGGAGACCCCTTCAAGCCCACAGCTTTTCAGGATGGAAGAGGGTGGGGGGTTGGGAGCTCCCCCCGCCCCCCTTTCCCTCACAGCCCTCTCCTAGCTCCCACTGCACCCTTCCCCTCCACATCCCTGCAGCTGGACCCAAGCCCAGGCAGTGACAGCCCCTCCCATATGGCAGCAGGAACAAAGAGAACCGCCCCCCACAACAAAATCCAGAAGCTCCGGCGGGCGGCCAGACCTCAAGCTCCCAGCCCAGTATGACCCGCAGCGTTCTCCATGGGCCACTGACGCCCGCGGGGCCAGCACTGCTCCTGGCTTCAAAAATATAAATTTAAAAATCCCCACCCCAAGATAATTGCTCTCTCCTCTTGCTTATTGTGGTGGCTCCGCGGTAGGCACTGAGAAGCAATTATTCACAGCTAATGATTATAATCAAGTCAAATAGAATTTAATGGACACGTATTCTCTTCCTGCTTGAAACTTTACATATGAATTAAGCACATATGGGTTTCACGAGGCACAGACGCAGATTTATGCAGCCCCGAAAAGCCCCGCCGTTGTGGACGACTTTTATTCCACTAATAAACAGGCTGATTTATGGGCTCCTGGGAACTGCGATCTCTGCTGCCCCCTGGTGGGCAAAGGGGCTGGGGTGGGAGCCAAGGCCACCCAGGACCCTGGAGGCCTGACCAGTGCCAAAGCCACTTTGAACGCTGGGGTTCCACAAAGCCCTGGACGGCCGAAGGAGACTCGGGCTCTGTGTGGGAAGCCTGTGTCCAGACCCTGCCTCCGCCATTCCCTGGGATTCCAGGTGGGTACTGGGTCCTCCTGGCTGTGAGATTCTAGAACAAAAAGATCCCAGGAAAACACACCAAGAGGAGTGTGGGTAAACTGAGGCAAGCAGGGGGAGGCAAAAGCTGATCATCTGCAGGAGGTACCATGTCCCTCAGCACCCCCAGGACAGGGGTGATGCCCAGAATGGCGCTGATGACACCAGTTTCAGCACCAATGCGAGGTGCTGAGCCCCGATTCCCGCCTGGTGATGAGTGACCGCCATTTGCATGTCACGTGCATCAGCTCCAAGTGCCCCCAGCAACCTGATGGGTGCTTTCTTTGCTACCCTCATTGTGCAGAGGAGGAAACAGAGGCCTAGGCAAGGACACGGAGAAGGGGAGTCCCCAGAGAAACTCAGCCAGCACTGCCCCAGCCCTGGCCCTGGTGCAAATGGAGCTGGCACTAAAGCACTTCCGATGGAGCTGCTGCATCCAAAGCCTGGCGACTCCCAAGAGCACTTAGCAAGCGGCGTTAATCACGCCCACAGCCCGGGTGCAGCCTCCAGAGTGTCCCCTGTTCCATCTGCACCCGCCAACACCCCACCTTGTTCCCTGAACCCTTTCTCCTGGCCCATGTTGCAGCCAATCACCAACCCAGGGGGACAGAGCTCACAAGATACCTCATTTTCCCTCTGGCCACTTTGCAGCTCAGCAAGAAGATACCGCTGGGGTACCTCTCACATGCTTGCCAGTGACTGGCAGGGCTGGAGTACCCACTGTCCTGCCTGACTGCCCTCTCAGCCACAGCCCCAAGGCTCTGCCCTTCTGCTCCAGGCCAGCCCCTCCTGGGCACAGGCAGCAAGAACGCCCTCCCCCAGGCCGCTGTAACATCTGCCAGTGCAGATGTGGCTTTGTCTTAGCCGTGTGGCCCCAGATGGACTAGCAGTCCTCTTCCTCGTGGCCCTAGAGAAACACACCAGAACCACCTGCAGAAGCCCAAAGTGACTCTAGCTCCCCCTGCTCCCCTCAGCCAGCCACTCTGAGCAGAAACTCCTGCCTACGTGTAACCTGTCACCTGTGTGTCTCGACAGGTAATGTGTGGGCAAGGCACCCCCATATGACTATCCAGCTTTGCAGTCAACGGTGGGAAGACGCACAGAGCAAGGTTGCTTCAGGAAACACAACTCAGACCCCATGGACCAGGCCCGGGGCAGCCGAGTGACCTTCGCTCTCCGGATCCTAGAGCCCGTAACTCAGAGAGATCAACGGAAATGCTCACAGCATCGGCGCCACCAAGCCCCAGAGTCACTGGGGGACAGCACTGGAGCCAAGCACGACCACTACAAGCCCAAAGTGGAGACGAAGGAGAGTCGAGAAGCTCCTGGGGGTGCCCTGGGCCTGCACAGGCTGGGGAGAGGCTGGCACGGCAGGGTTTTCCCGTGAGCTGGAGCCCAAGATGAGAGGATCTGCCCCCCAAATTCAGGGTCTGAAAAAGAGCTCCCCTTCCTCTGATGCTTGGTGCAGACGCCGGGTAAGCAAAGGAGCAAGTGAGCAGGCGGGCGAGGGCCGGGGTTCAGCCGCCACTCGACCTGTTCCACAAGCCACCTGCTGGACTTAACCGGCCCTTGACACCCCATGCCAAAGTCCTTTCCTGGCACCTTTGACGTTGCCAGACAACCACTGCCTGCGTGGAGAAGCAGCCCCCTTCCTCCCTCCCACAAAGAAGCAGCCGGCTCCCATACTCATCACAACAAACTGCCAAGCCAGCAAGAGGCGAGCGCAGGAAGCTGAGCAGCTCCCGTTTCCAGGCGCTGGAAAGCGGCCAGGGCACCGCAGGGGACCTCTCTGCCCCCACTATCCCTCAACAAGCTCCTTCACCTGCCCAGGTCTGAAGGGTGGGCAGGGCAGGCCAAAGGTAGAGGAAGGCAGGTGGTGGTTGGGGCCTCTGTGGTCCCCCAAGGTCAGACCTCTCCGCTGTGGCCTCTGCCTTCCTGGCAGGGAAGCCCAGTTCCAGCCCAGCTCTCCCACTTCCCCGGCCACTAATGGGTCTCAGTGGAGCAAGGCGCCCCCGACACAGCAGGTCAGGGTTTCAAGGGAAGAGGAGCCCAAGTGGCCGACGCGCTGGGCTGCCATGGCGCCAGCAGGCCGTCCCTGCCAGCAACCTGAGCCTCACTGGAGCCAGGTGGCGTCCACCCAGGCCTGGCACAGCAGAGTAGAGCAAAGGCAACGGGGCGGCCACCAGGGTTCTGGTTCAGGCCAGCCACTCACCGGCGTTGACGATGGCGTCCACCTCCAGCTTGGTGATGTCGCCGCGGAACAGGGAGATCTTCTCATTGAGCTGCTTGTCCTTTTTATACCTGGGCTCCTCCACCTTCACAGCCACCCCTGGAACAAGTAGGGGCCGGGGAGGTCACAGCAAGGCTGCCCACTGCAGAGGGACCCAGCCAGGGCCCAGGGGCCAGGGCCTTCCCTATCGACCTCCCTCCACCTCCAGGGGCAGCCTGCAGCATGATGACTGCTGACCCAGTACCAGGAACCCACGCTGAGGAGCACCTACTGTGTGCCAGCATCATGCGGGGACTCCTTGCATCTTGACAGCAAGGCCACCAGCAGGTACAGTGCTAATATCATCCATCCCATTTCACAGAGGTAGAAACTGAGGATTAGGTGGGTCAGGGACTTGCCCAGGTTTATGGGTCACCAGGCCTGCTGTCTCACCAACACACCCTACTGTAAGCAACCAAATCGCACTTCAAACCCCAGCTCCCTACAAGCAAGTAATCTCAGGCAGGTGGCTCACCTAACCTAGGGCTCTGTTTCCTACCATATAATGGGGATAAAAATTGCACTTGTTGTGTTAATAATTGAATGAAGTGGCCAGGCACAGTGGCTCACGCCTATAATCCCAGCACTTTGGTATGCCGTGGAGGGCAGATCACTTGAGGTCAGGAGTTCGAGACCAGCCTGGCCAACATGGTGAAACCCCATCTCTACTGAAAATACAAAAATTATCCGGGCATGGTGGTACATGTCTATAATCGCAGCTACTCAGGAGGCTGAGGCAGGAGAATCGCTTGAACCCAGGAAGCAGAGGTTGCAGAAGGCCGAGATCACGCCACTGCACTTGTCTCAGTGACAAAGTGAGACTCCATCTCAAAAACTAAACTAAATTAAATAAATAAATAAATAATTGAATGAGGTGGCCGGGCTTGGTGGCTCACGCCTTTAATCCCAGCACTTTGGGAGGCCGAGGCGGGCAGATCACTTGAGGTCAGGAGTTCAAGACCAGCCTGGACAACATGGTAAAACCCCATCTCTACTGAAAATACAAAATTAGCCGGATGTGGTGGTACATGCCTGTAATCCCAGCTACTTGGGAGGCGGAGGTGGGAGAATACTTGAACCCAGGAGGCGGAGGTTGCAGTGAGCCAAGATCGCACCATTGCACTCCAGCCTGGGCAAAAAGAGTGAAACTCCGTCTCAAAAAATAAAACAAAATAATTGAATGAGGTGATACACGCAGAGCGCCTGCCTGCAGCAAGCACTCGATACACGCTGCTGGACTCGCTCTTCCTGTCTGCACGATTCTCCCAAGCCACGGGTCTGGAGCCTGCCCACCAGGGCCTCCCCAGAGCAGGGCCTACCTTTCGCCATCTCCTTCCACGTCGGGATCTTCTTCAGCCTGACAAAGTCCTTGCAGAAGTAATGTTCCTCCCGCTGCTTGTCACTCAGGCCCTTCAGAAAGGCTGCAGAGGCAGGAAGGAGCGTCAGGGTGGGGGCAGAGGAGCTGGCCAGGTGCTCACACCCCCACATCTCCCTTCTTGCCTTATCCAAGAATGCAAACCAGCCCTTCCTGTCCATCCTTCCCTGGGCACACAGGGCGGGCATGCTGGGGCAGCCTCAGAGGCCCCTAGAATATCTTGTCCTGCTCTCTTTGTTCAGGGAGGGAAACTGAGGTCTGGGGAGGCTGAGGGACTGGCTCAGGCATCGCAGACCTGAGTTCAGAATTCAGCTCTGCCACTTTCCAGCAGAGTCCACATCTCTTTGGGTCCCCCATTTCTCCCTGATTAGAACGGGGGTGAAGACGTCCCCTGAGGAACAGCTCCGAGCTTCCTCCCACACACTAAGGTCAAGCCGGTTGGCAGCACTCAGCCGGTGACATTATCCGTCAGTCCCACCGCCAGTCAGTTCTGCCCTCACTGTCACCGCATGCAGGCAGCGGGACAGCTGTCCTCCTCCAGGAGCTGCAGGACCAAGTGGACCTGGCACCTGTCCCCAACATCTCACCAGCATCGGCTGAGGGCTCCCAGCATGACCAATGGGGCTGGAATCACCCCCATTTTACAGATGAGAAAACTGAGGCTCAGGAAGGGTGGGAGGCCACCCTCACACAGCAGGGACTTGAGAGAGGAGCCAGGTACCCCCCACCCACTCACGGACTCTGGGTCTACCCTGGCCGGCTCCCCCTTGCCTGGGCACTGTCCCATGGGCTCTGCCTTCCCTTGGGGGTGGCACCAGGCACAGAAACCTGGAACCCGTCTCAGAAAGGCCCGCCCAGACCGCACCGGGCCAGGCTCGCAGCTCGCGGGCTCCCCCTGCTGGCCTGAGGCCGCCAGCACACCCAGGCTCTCAGCCCTGCCTGCCTCCCTGGACCACAGGCTCCCGGTATGGGGCAGCCCCCACGGCAAACAGCAAAGGCTACAATTGAGAAACCCAAAAAGCATCAAGAAGTATGTAGAGGGCCGGGCGCGGTGGCTCAAGCCTGTAATCCCAGCACTTTGGGAGGCCGAGATGGGCGGATCACGAGGTCAGGAGATCGAGACCATCCCGGTTAACACGGTGAAACCCCGTCTCTACTAAAAAATACAAAAAACTAGCTGGGCGAGGTGGCGGGCGCCTGTACTCCCAGCTACTGGGGAGGCTGAGGCAGGAGAATGGCGTGAACCCGGGAGGCAGAGCTTGCAGTGAGCCGAGATCGCGCCACTGCACTCCAGCCTGGGCGACAGAGCGAGACTCCGTCTCAAAAAAAAAAAAAAAAAAAAAAAGAAGTATGTAGAGGTGGAAGAACAATTAGAGGAGGTGGTGAGAAAGGAAAGATTGCAGCCTGGAAGCTTCTATGCACATGATGGTGAGGGGGACAGGTAGGTCCCTCCACAAATGCTCAGGGAGATGGGGAGGCCACCCTCACACAGCAGGATGTTTTCTCCACCAGAGTCACTTCACCATCCAGGCCTCCATCTCCTCATCTGACAGCTGCTGGCAGTGGTGATAACAGCCCAAGGATGCTGAGAGCATTAGATGACAGAACTCATGCAAGGGGCCCAGTCCAGAGTCCCTGCTGGATGCAAAGCTGGGGTCATCACAAAAGGCTACGCCCACCCCTGGTCAGCCTCAACTGCTGCTCAAGCCAGAGCCACCTTTCCTGGCAGCCACTTCTGCCCCCTCTTCCATAAACATGCTTGGGCACAAGTAGGTCCTGCATTCAGCGCCAGAGATGCATTGAGCGGGCTGACCTGGCCCTGGCCCTCGTGAATCTACAACCCAGCCAGGGAGACAGAAGCTGGTCCAGGCACTTTAGTCGAGCAATTCCAATTCTGAGATGCGCTATGAGACACTCGGGGCTGGCAGAGGAGTTCCCTGGAACCCTGACCAGGCAGGGCGGCGGGGAGGCTTAAGGGAGACTCGGAAGAGGCGTGAGAAGTAGCCAGGGCCGGAAAGGGTGTTTGGCAGCAGGAACAGCATGTAAAGGTCGTAGGAGAATAAAATTGTTTGTGGGGTGACAGAGGTAGGCAACTGACTTCATCCCAGGAGCGCTATAACCAGATTGAAAATGCTTTCACATGGCCAGGCACAGTGGCTCATGCCTGTAATCCCAGCACTTTGGGAGGCTAAGGTGGGCGGATCACCTGAGGTCAGGAGTTCGAGACCAGCCTGGCCAACACAGTGAAACCCTGTCTCTACTAAAATTACAAAAACTAGCTGGGCGTGGTTGTGGGCACCTGTAATAACAGCTACTTGGGAGGCAGAGGCAGGAGAATCGCTTGAACCTGGGAGGCTGAGGTTGCAGCAAACCGAGATCATGCCACTGTATTCCAGCCTAGACAACATAGCAAGACTCTGCCAAAAAAAAAAAAAATGCTTTCACCAGATACTTCCCATGAGTGTACCATGTGCCGCCTTCTTTTTTTTTTTTTTTTTTTTGAGATGGAGTCTCGCTCTGTCGCCCAGGCTAGAGTCCAGGGCGTGATCTCGGCTCACTGCAACCTCCCCTCCCGGGATTCTCCTGCCTCAGCCTCCCAAGTAGCTGGGACTACAGGCGCCTGCCACCACATCCGGCTAATTTTTTGCATTTTTAGTAGAGAGGGTTTTTTTCTTTTTTCTTTTTTTTTTTTTGAGACGGAGTCTCCCTCTGTCGCCCAGGCTGGAGTGCAGTGGCGCGATCTCACTGCAAGCTCCGCCTTCCGGGTTCACGCCATTCTCCTGCCTCAGCCTCCCAAGTAGCTGGGACTACAGGCGCCCACCACCACACCCGGCTAATTTTTTGCATTTTTAGTAGAGACAGGGTTTCACCATGTTAGCCAGGATGGTCTCGATCTCCTGACCTCGTGATCCGCCCACCTTGGCCTCCCAAAGTGCTGGGATTACAGGCATGAGCCCCTGCACCCAGCCGCCATGTGCGTTCTTTCTAAGGGGCCAGGGGTACCTCTGCTGGCCCCTCCATCACTAGTGTCCCTTGCTTCTCACAGCCCATTCCCTGCCCCCCCTTTTCAAGAGGCCAGTCTCCCTGCTGGGCACATGGCCCCAGCAGGACCTGAGGAGCAGGCCAGGGGCCTCCCATCTGAAGACTCCTTTCTTTGTGTGAGGGTAGGGGATGCTGGTATCTGCAAGGAGCATTCCCAAGCCTCTGCTGGCCTCTTCTGTAGGAAGAGGCTACAGAATAATGAGGCTCATTACAGAATAATGAGGCTGTGGGAAGCTACCTCCTGCATTTCATAGGAAGTGGACTGGGCTAGCCTGGCACGTGGCAAAGGGCTGAGCTGCTGGAAGCCAGTACCACCTACCGAGGGCAAAGAACAGGCCAGAGAGGAGAGGCCACTCCATCTGGGCTCTGCACCTCCCATCGGCAGCTCGAATGCCAATAAGTCAGTTAATAAATATTTATCAAGCATCCTCACCTTCACCAAGGTGAGGTCCTGGAGCCTGACCGAGAAGAGGGGAGGCCAGGAAAGCTTCAGGGAGGAAGTGATCCCAATTTCTCTGGTTGGTCCCAGGGGCTGTAAATCACTGGAGGAAATCCCACCACCAAGCAGAGGCTGCCTCTAAATTTTTCACCTCCCCTATGGGGGCTCTGTCAGCCTGGCCACGCAGCTGCTGCTTTGGCAGTGAACTCCCCCTTCCTCCTTCTCCCCAGCTGCCCCCACTCTTCCTCCAGCTGCTGTCCTCCCCCACTGAGCCGGGCACCTCCACCACCTGCCCGCACCTTGTCCTCCCTCCTTCAGGTCACTGGGCATGAAGGTCCCTCCTGTCAGTGCTGCCACCTGCCAGGCCCACCTCCCAGAGCACTCACTGCTGCAGGTACCCCTCCACCAGGCCGTCCTGCCTGCCCTCAAACAATCCCCGTCCCCACCCTCGACGCCCGCATTCCACACCCCTGCAGCTGCCCCCTCCTCTGCTGTCTCCACTTCCTCCCTCCCATGCTCCCTTCAGTCCACCCAGTCTGGTCCCTCCCCCCAACAAGGTCAAGGTCACCACACCCCATGCCGCGGCCCCTCCTGCCTTCCCTGTGGGCAGGAAGTGTCCTTACTGCTTTCCTCCCTAGGTCTTGTAATCAGTTGCACAGATTCAAAACCCTGTTTAAGCGAGCAACCTCCAGAGCTGTCCCTCCACTCTCTTCTGAGCCTCTGACCCCCACAGAGCCTGCCTGCGAGAGCTGTGACAGATGCTGGTGGCAGCCGGCCTAGACCCAGGCTGCGCCTTTTCTTCTGTTACAGGTCCCGCCAGGTTTGGGCTCATGACCTCCCAACACCATGCTCAGTTTGGAGCCTCGGTTTTCCCATCTCTAGAATAGGGACAAGGCAGACCTTCCCTTGCTAACACCCAGGCTTGCTGGGAGGGTCAAAGGAGAAGGTGGCTGTGAACTGCAAAGTGCAGTCTACACACCAGACACACTCACTCCTTCCTGGCGGCAAAATAAGGCCCAAAGAGAACAAAGCAAACAGGACAAAATTGTGGAGAACTTTTTTTTCCAACTTGGGAACACAGCAGACAGAGGACCTTTCCTAAGTATTTGGGTCCCCAGCACTTGGGGAGGCCAAGGCAGGCCAATCGCTTGAGCCCAGGAGTTCGAGACCAGCCTGGACATCATGGAGAAACCCCATCTCTACCAAAAAATACCAAAAAATCAGCCGAGTGGCCTGGCATGGTGGCTCACACCTGTAATCCTAGCACTTCGGGAGGCCGAGGCAGGCGGATCACCTGATGTCAGGAGTTTGAGACTAGCCTGGTCAACATGGTGAAACCCCGTCTCTACTAAAAATACAAAATTAGCCGGGCATGGTGGCACATGCCTGTAATCCCAGCTACTCAGGAGGCTGAGGCAGGAGAATCGTTTGAACCTGGGAGGCAGAGGTTGCGGTAAGCTGAGATCACACCATTGCATTCCAGCCTGGGCAATAAGAGCAAAACTCCATCTCAAAAAAAAAAAAAAAAATCAGCTGAGCGTGGTGGATGTGCATCTGTGGTCCCA